ATTTTATTTTATCTTACAGTCTTCTGTAAATAAAGATTTGAAAACTTAATGAACGGAAGAACTCTCCTTTTTTAAATCCCGAAGCAAACATATTATTAACTAATTAGTTTGTATTTGAAATATAAATTTGCTTTTTTTTTTTTTGGTTAGTTTCTTCCCTTGTTTTGTTTTTGGGGGGGGGGGTGTATTTTCTTCTCTTGTTCAAAAGTTTGATCTTTTGTTTTTTCGTTTTGGTTTAAAAGGTATTGAAAGCTTCACCGTAACAAAAAACTAAGTATGAGTACATCAGCGACTTCTACATCATGAGAAAAGTTTACACATCCAGTAGAAGTATATATATGTATATATCATTATTATTATTAGCACGTTGTATTTATGACAAAGATACTAAGGCTATCTAATGTCGTCTCTGATTTTGAACTACTGATCAAAGAGAAGGAAACCAGCATCTTATCACTCACAACCAACGCCCTCTATTTACTTCCAAACAAATTTGGATACTTGGTTGAAAAACGACCATCCTTGCACTTGGGACATTCCCGCGTGCGCTCCTTCCCCACCCTCAGTAGCTGCCAAAGTGTGGGGGTGCTGATTCTTCTTGTAATTTATTGGTTGTATGTCCGCCGCTCTTTCCCTCTCAGTGGGGGCTTTCTTCCTTCTCCGCTAGAAACGCTGCTTCATCTACATAATGTTACATAGATTTAGCTTAAAGCGCTACTAAGCCACGATGGTTGAAATGTATCCTTGAGGGAAGTATTGCATGTTTGAATTTAACTGTTATTTAATGTAACTGTATATATACTGGCTGTGCGTGAATTGTGAATCTGATGATTCATGATTCGAGGCCCGTTGCCGCAAAAACACGCACATATGTTACTATTTGGCCAAACAAAATAAATTAGCAGTGAATGATGTTGACTAGCTGTCTTCTGCTTAAACTATCACTTTAAAATTATCCCCCATTAGTTCAGAGGTAAGTCTGAACGCCTGCTACGTTGAAATGTGGATTTCGATACCGGAGGTGGGTAGAGAACAGACAGCCCTTTTGTGAACAATTCTAGAACAAACTATATGTATTAAGACCACAGATTTGTTTTCTTTATTTAAAACTTTACAAACTTGTATATTTTTAGGCCATATTCAACACAAATAGAAAATAAATTAGAAAAGAAAAGAACATTTTTAAACTAGTAACATACTCGAACACTAAAAATAGCTCAAAACTAATAACATCAGTGATTTAATAGTTTATATGTTTAAACCCTTAACTAATTGACTTGCTTTTTAAACCATTAACTACCGATGGACTTCACAAATCACATAATATCGAGTTTTTGCTTTAGCCTGTTACAACACTCAACGTAAAGAACTGACCAGAACAGTTTGGTAAAAATTGCCCCTTTTCTGTCTAAATTACATAGGTGATCCTAAAGTACATGGGTGACCCCAGCAATGGGTAATGGAATTAACTGCAATATCGGTCATATATCTGTTTAAAATATTTTGCATGATTCTCACGTTATTAAAATCCTAGTAAACATCAAAGTCGTCAATCCATAAACAATATGGTGTATAAATAACTCAGAAGAACATGTTTATAAGTCATGTGAGATTTAGCCTTAGGGTTAAACACATTTACAGCTAGAACTTGTTATTGGAAGTCCGTTTGTATTTGTACTGTAAACATAAATGTACTTAAGTGCTTGAAGTGGCCTGTGAATCAGTTCACGAAATACGACAGTCAAGTAGCTGAAGAATAAGCACTGTAAAGTCTAACATATACACAGAATTAATAGCGCTTTTCTGAATTTTCAATTGTTTTGATAACTGTGATCTAGACATATAAACATGACAATTTAACGTCTTTGTCTTTTTAGATTTAATTTTCCAGTTCTGTCTGTTTGTTTGGATAGCATATACACACGTAGTTCCAGTACTCGAATTGAATATGTATATATATATATATCTCACTCTGATCCAGATAACGATACACAGATCCCATCTTGCGTTGTCAGTGATAACTAACGCTTTAATCTTTATCCTCACGAGTCGTAAAAGAAGTATAAGGAAAAAAGTTTCTGTATATTTTAAGAAATGATAAGTGAAATTAATGATATCATAGTGGTCGCTATGTATGTATGTCATCAATATTCACGAACAATAATTGCTTAGGTGTCAATCAGATTAAGTACGTGAATTCTAATTTTTATCACTGTTATTGGAAAAATGCTAGTTATTTACAAACCCATTACTGTCTAACTCAGTGTACGTGGGAAATTCAAGAATGAACTGAGCCTCAAGTTTCTTTCTTTCTCTATGTCAAAAACCCAGAGTTTTTTTTGTTCTAAGAAGAAAAAAGGAACAATATCTAAAAATGATCTAACTTTGATCTTTGACATTTTACATTCTAATACATTACAGAGTTGACATATTATGTTATAACCTATTACAGAGTTGATATCTTACGTTATACCCTATTGCAGAGTTGACATATTATGTTATACCCTATTACAGAGTTGACATCCTAAGTTATAACCTATTACAGAATTGACATCTTACGTTATACCCTATTACAGAGTTGACATCCTACGTTATAACCTATTACAGACTTGACATCCTACGTTATAACCTATTACTGAGTTGACATCCTACGTTATAACCTATTACAGAGTTGACATTCTACGTTATAATCTATTACAGAGTTGACATCCTACGTTATAATGTATTACAGAGTTGACATCCTACGTTATAACCTATTACAGAGTTGACATTCTACGTTATAATCTATTACAGAGTTGACATCCTACGTTATAATGTATTGCAGAGTTGACATCCTAAGTTATAACCTATTACAGAGTTGACATCCTACGTTATAACCTATTACAGAGTTGACATTCTACGTTATAATCTATTACAGAGTTGACATCCTACGTTATAATGTATTGCAGAGTTGACATCCTACGTTATAATGTATTGCAGAGTTGACATCCTAAGTTATAACCCATTACAGAATTGACATCTTACGTTATACCCTATTACAGAGTTGACATCCTACGTTATAACCTATTACAGACTTGACATCCTACGTTATAACCTATTACAGAGTTGACATCCTACGTTATACCCTATTACAGAGTTGACATCTTACGTTATACCCTATTACAGAGTTGACATCCTACGTTATAACCTATTACAGAGTTGACATTCTACGTTATAATCTATTACAGAGTTGACAGCCTACGTTATAACCCATATATTTTACAGAGTTGACATCGTACGTTGTAGTTAATAGCTTTTACAGAGTTGACATCGTACGTTGTAGTTAATAGCTTTTACAGAGTAGGCAGCCTACGTTATAGCTAATAGCTTTTACAGATTGGACAGCCTACGTTATAGCTAATAGCTTTTACAGATTGGACAGCCTACGTTACAATCTATATCTTTTACATAGTTGACATCCTACGTTCCAATCTATATCTTTTAGAGATTTGACATCCTACGTTATAGCTAATAGCTTTTAGAGAGTAACCTACATTACAATCCACATGCTTTTAGAGAGTTGAAAGCCTGAGTTATAATCCATAGCTTTTACCAAGTTGACATACTACGTTATAGCTAATAGCTCTTACAAAGTTGACAACCTGTGTTATATCCTATATCTTTTATAGAGTTGACAGCCTACGTTATAAGCTATAAGTTCTTACAGAGTTGATATCTTATGTTACAGCTAATAACTTTTACAGAGATGAAACAGCCAGCGTTATAACCTATAACTTTTGCAGAGTTTATCGTCTACGTTATAACCTATAACTTTTACGGAGTTGATCGTCTACGCTATAACCTAAAACTTTAACAGAGTTGATCGTCTACGTTATAACCTATGACTTTTACAGAGTTGATCGTCTACGTTATAACTTATAACTTTTACAGAGTTGATCGTCTACGTTATAACCTATGACTTTTACAAAGTTGATCGTCTACGTTATAACTTATAAATTTTACAGAGTTGATCGTCTACGTTATAACCTATGACTTTTACAGAGTTCACAACCTAATTTATAATCCTCGGTATAGATATGATTCGGTAGGTTCTACGTTGGAGCATATTCATGAATAGGATCATGTGGCAGCATGAACAATAAACTAACGCTTAACAAATAGTATGTGGGTAGTAAGAGTATCGTAGCACGTATGTAGACATATCAGGCATTGTAGATGTTATTAAAACACTATTGTTAGGATGGTTTTCAAAATGGTTGATACTATAGTATACTAATATTTCGTTTTCTGAGTGGAATTTTGTTTTGAAAGCTACATATAACCTATACAGTGTAAACCCAGTCTTTAGGTTACTGTACAATAATTGGTCACGTGACAAGAATAAGTTCGCATGTATATAAAAGCTAAAATAATTAGCAGATGACATTAGGCTTAGGTTTCATTTTTGAGGAAAATAATAAAAGAATATAAAATATAGTACATGAGAACTGGTTGACGACTAAGACTAAAAAATAATTAAGTTCATTTAACCAATGACGAAAGAGAATGAGATCACGTAATCATACTCTGACGTCGATGGATTTTGAAGGATGTATAAAATCTAACATGTTTAGCTACTAGCAATTAAGCAGACAAAGAAATGGAAACTTGGAAGACTTATCTTGGAGTTCTAGCTGTTCTATTACAGGTGGGTTGACATAAGTTTATTCATAATCTCGGTGACAAGGGGAAAGCAAAGTTTTTGTATTTAATAGAGCTGTAAGTATTGTAGTTCACGTGCGCGCGAGATAAATGTATTCATAATATTAGAAGCTTGTTTGTTTTTCTGAAGCACAAAGCTACACAGTGGTAAATCTGCGCTCTGACCATTACGGGTATCTAAACCTAAATTTTAGCGTTCAAAGGGCGAGAAGTAAGTCAAAAACAAAGAACAAAGATCGTTTTGGAGTTTTTCTATTAAACGTGGGTTGAAACAAATCTGTTCAAGACTTTAGGGGAACAGTAAGAAAACTAAAGGTCTTTAGCAGTTTATTATTCAATTCAACTCCTTTGAAAACAGATGAGCAAAAAAACTTCTGTCAACCTTATAGTTTATAAAATAGATAAAATGTCCAGATGAGGTATTTTCAATATGTATATCAACTAATATTAGGTACAAATTACATATTACATTTAAACTGATTTTTCGTTATTATTATTTGTTGTCTTTTACATATAGCTATACATTCGTGTATCTGTCTGTGTCATTCGCGGATTTGTATTATTTTTTCTATTTTAAAATCATATTTGGTATTAAACACAATTTTGTTCACTAGATGGCAACAAAATCGCTGAATCTCGAGTTCCCTAACTTGTATTTTCTATGAATCATTATTTCCTAATGTTTTTTTTTTACGTTTCTGTATAGCAATTCTTATAAAATGTTTTTTTCTTATTACATTGTAACATAATTTCACTTAGGGTCCTGCGGAAGGAGTCCAACGGACCCAGGTGTCCATTTATTATTCCACCTTGTGTACTGATAGTATTACGTTTTTCTCCAAACAACTGTGGCCTACATACACAAAAATCGGGAGCATTATGGACGTGGAGTTGGTGCCGTTTGGTAAAACAAAGGTAGAGTATTGCATAAAATAAGGTAAACTCGAAAGTCTTGTGGATTTTGGATGAGCCACGTGAGTGTGGCGTTGCACTCCAACCATGACTTAACCCTAACTCTCTCCAGCTAACACAATATCACGTATTTACTATGCATTCAAAATGTCTTGTAAACGAAGAATGTTAAATATAAGTTTAAAGATTCTCACAATAAGTTTATCTTACTTGAAATAGTAACTTATTGTTGAGACTACGATAATAACCCAGATAATGGAGAATCAGTGTATTCTAATCAATATAAGGTTTGTTTTTACAAGTTGTTTGATGATATTGTATGTCCTTATTTAGTCTCATATATAGCATTATCTAAGCTATGTTTAAGCCTTTTTTATTTCTGATCTACATAATTATCTTTCTTTGATTAGAAATTATTGATAATAAGCTAATAGATAATGATTGTTTAGCTACAATTGGCTATCATATTTGTGTTGTTTTAATAAAGGTTCTGTTAACTCCGGGGGCACGTTATTACATTTACAATTAATATTTCTATTTTACTACAATCTATTAAGATGGATGCCATAGTTAAATATATTTTATTTGAATACATATGTTTTCTTTGTTATTTTTGGTAGCAAAAGCTTCCTTTTGATGGGACCAATTCTTTCGAATGTCAATTTGGACCTGCAGATTGCTATGGAAATATAGTTCAAGTATGTTACATTGAACAAGTAAAACAGGCCTGATTATTTGAACGAGTAAAACAGGCCTGATTATTAATATTATTGTCCCATTCATTTAAACTAGTAAATAATATTGTGATTAATACGTTTTACTTAAGTTTGTTAAATGTATATATATATATACTTTAGTGTAGAATTTAATTAAATACAGTGCTATTTATTTTGTATAAAAATGTCATTTTAGCTAGTTTGTTTGTTTGTTTGTTTATTGTTTTGCACAAAGCTACATAATAGACTAGCTGTGCTCTTCTCACCACAGGTTACCGAAACCCAGTTTTTAGCGTTATAAGCCTACGGAAGGGGGGGGGATATTTTAGAACTTTTAGTAACATTTAATTATATTTTCTAAAAACAAATAAACTGGAAATTACGTATGACATAGTAAAGTAACGAGCTTTTTTCTTTATGTTGTTCTACCGCCAATCCAAACATCCATCAAGTGTTCTGTCCCTAGAGAAGTCCCTGACACAATTCTTCCCTCTTTTTCGCTCTATATTCATCTCCGCTCTCTGCATCTGTCATAAGCCGTTCCTGGTTGAAAATCATCATCCTTTTCCTTCCTCTTGATCTTCTCCCAAAGTATCTTCTCTCGACCATCTTCTCGACCAAAGTTTTCTCGCACTTCATTGTTGATGGAACAAGTCCGCGTTCTTCCCCCACTTCATGGTTGATGGAACAAATCCACTTTCTTCCCCACTTCATGGCTGATGGAACAAGTCCACGTTTTTCCCCCACTTCATGGCTGATGGAACAAGTCCACGTTTTTCCCCCACTTCATGGTTGATGGAACTAGTTCACTTTCTTTCCCCACTTCATGGCTGATGGAACAAGTCCACGTTTTTCCCCCACTTCATGGCTGATGGAACAAGTCCACGTTTTTCCCCCACTTCATGGCTGATGGAACAAGTCCACGTTTTTTCC